TTCATAACTTTTACTTTGCATGAAATCTTCACATTTGTATTTTGTATTGAAATAAATCTTATGTCAGGCAACCATGTCAGTCACAAATTCACAAAATTCAAAACCATAATGTCAAAGAACTGTGTTATCAAACCAATTGTTCCTGTTGTTTTGTAAGTTTGTTCAAAGATTAGGATAATCAGTGTCTCAAGCAATGAGATTACTGTAGGTGCTTGAGATTGTCTGACTCCATAGGGGGCCATCCTCCTGTTGACCTGATGACTTGACCTGAGACAGTCAAGGGTACTGGATGCTGCTAATTGCAATCTCCTTATCCAGAAGAGCTTGCTGCTAGAGAGGTGTGGCTGGGGAGACCTGTTGGGATGGGAAAATGTCCTGATGCGTCCACTCATTCAGGAGTATCAGACAGGAACTGGACTTGATGTCGGGACGTTCACGTCTGTCACCTATTACATCAGAGCACCTTAATCTTGACGGGGATTAACCTTGTGTCATGCATCATCTTTGTATTCTTTGAGTGGTGGATCATATCGTCATGGATCGATCATGTTACGTCATGTGATTGTTGGTCAGGTTGGGTGGTGATAAGAGGGAATAAACATTGTCTGACAAAATTGGTGACAATCAGAAATGACACTGGTTCAAAGGTTGGATACTGTACATCATTTCTCATGACAGCAAGTAGGGTAGCTTAGTTTGTTAAAACACTCACTTGTCATGCCAGAGTAACAGGTTTGATTCCCAGTCTACAGCAAACATTTGCAATGATTCTCATTTTGGAAGAAGTAACATAAGAACTGAGCAAATTTTAGCTTCTTAAGTCTGACTTATTTCGATTGAAAAAAAAAATTTCAGTGGTATTTAGAAGTAATTTCAATGGTATTTAGATTAAGTAAGAAAGGGACAATTCATGGATGGCTACTTCTGTATCATGAACACATTTCAGAGTGCATTCTCCTAAAAATCAGGTTCTTTGTAAAACAGAAGTTACATCCATAAATTTACCCCCTTTTTATTACACTGATCGACTGCCCTATCGACTTAATCACTTTGTGCAACAAACACAGGTTGTTGGGGACCATTTCTATCCCCGAATCTACTCTCGGTTCAGTATATCATGTAAGGACTACATTAGTTTGTGATGTAAGGATTACAGTTAATGACTTGACGACCCCCAATCTCTTGCCCTCTTTCAATAACACTTAAGCTTCAACAAATAGCTGCTTTGTGGACTGTGTCCACTCTAACACCCTGACAGTCCCGCTAACAATACCTGCAAACTCTACATAGTGAGTATTGACTGTCAAATGTCAGACAGTGTATATAATCCCACTGGACATGTTTACACAGGATGAGAAACCTGCTCATCCTCACCACACAAAGCCTTCGGAGCCAGGAAATGCTGGCCAGACCTCCAACAATGGTCTACATTTGACACTGACACCACACAGAATACACCAATTTCCCCATGTTGATGGAACCAACAAGACTAATCCTCCTGATTGTGTGCTGTGTGGGTCTGGTCTATACTTACAGGTATAGGTCCTGTACGGCTTTCAGACGCTTGTGTGTTTTGGTCAACTCTTGCCAAGTTGTTGGCCCTTTTTATTTTTATTATCCCACCGGCATGTAATGCGGTGGGATATAAGTCGTCGCCTCTTATCCGTCTGTCCGTCTGTCCGTCCGTCCGTCCGTCCGTAATCATTTTGTTTCCGGAGCATAACTCAAAGACCGTTCGATATTTTTCATCCAAAATTGGTAGATATGTCAAACATAACCTAAAGTGGTGCCTTTTGCTATTTACAGATTATTGTCATTTTTATTTTTCTCGGTTTCCATGGAAACGTTTTGGACTTAGTCTTAAAGAAGGGTGGGCTTCGTTTCCGGAGCATAACTCAAGAACCGTTCAGTATTTTTCAACAAAACTTGGTAGATATATCAAACAGATCCTTAAGTGGTGCCTTTTGCTATTTACAGATTTTTGGCATTTTTATTTTTCCCGGTTTCCATGGAAACGATTCAGACTTAGTCCCAAAAGTGAGGGGTGGGCTTCGTTTCCGGAGCATAACTCAAGAACCGTTCAATATTTTTCAACAAAACTTGGTAGATATATCAAACAGATCCTAAAGTGGTGCCTTTTGCTATTTGCAGATTTTTGGCATTTTTATTTTTCCTGGTTTCCATGGAAACGATTCAGACTTAGTCCCAAAAGTGAGGGGTGGGCTTCGTTTCCGGAGCACAACTCGAAAACTTCTCTATATCTTTCAGCAAAACTTGGCAGATATGTGAGGCAGATCCCAAAGTGGTGCCTTTTGCTATTTGCAGATATTTGTGATTTATTATTTTCTCTGTTTCCATGGAAATGATTCAGACTTAGTCTCAAAAGGAAGGGGTGGGTTTCGTTTCCGGAGCATAACTCAAGAACCGTTCAATATTTTTCAACAAGACTTGGTAGATATATCAATCAGATCCTAAAGTGGTGCCTTTTGTTATTTGCCGATTTTTGGCATTTTATTTTTCCCGGTTTCCATGGAAACGATTGGGACTTAGTCCCAAAAGTGAGGGGTTGGCTTGCGTTTCGAGCATAACTCAAGAACCGTTCAATATTTTTCAACAAAATTTGGTAGATGTATGAAACAGAACCTTAAGTCATGCCTTTTGCTATTTGCCGATTTTTGGTATTTTTATTTTTCCTGGTTTCCATGGAAACATTTTGGACTTAGTCTCAAAAAAGTAATCATTGCTTTTCGTTTCTCGAGCACAACTCAAAACCGTTATAATATTTTTCAACAAAACTTGGTAGATATATCAAATAGATCCTAAAGTGGTGCCTTTTGCTATTTGCAGATATTTTGTGATTTATTATTTTCTCAGTTTCCATGGAAACAATTTAGACTTAGTCTCAAAAAAGTGAGGGGTAGGTTTTGTTTCGGAGCACAACTCAAAAAACTTCTTAATATCTTTCAGCAAAACTTGCCAGATATGTGAGGCAGATCCCAAAGTGGTGCCTTTGCTATTTGCAGATTTTTGTCATTTATTTTTTCATGATTTCCATGGAAACGATTTGCACTTAGTCTAAAAATCAAACTGTCAGATGATTTGTTCTTTCAAAGATGTGGGGGCAGGGGATATGTCATCTTCTGATGACTCTTGTTTAAACTTTATTGTTTTTAAAGATGTTTTACAGTCTATTCCGAAAACTCAACAAAGGACATTCAGGTTACAATGCAATACAAGCATATGATGTACAAATCATGTGAACAGTTCATGACATGAAGACCAGAACTTATAAAAGGCTGATATTACACTCCATTAAAGAAGAGCACTTTGTTATCATATAATACTGTCTAATTTCATTCTGGAAAACATGGAAAGGTGGCACACTATTTTTTAATCTGCTTCCAAAAATTAGGTTTTAAAGATAATAATAATTATATTGAGAGGGTCATTGTTTTTGTCTGGGAAACCGAGCAATACCTGTTGCTGAACCTGGTTCAGCTATGCATGGACTTGACCAGTGTCATGTATCTACTGGTCAAAGACCTGGCATGCTGCATGGTTGTTTTGAGCCCCTCCACTTTATCATTGATTGTTGAGGCATTATGGATGTTGCATCACCTATAATGTAATCAGCTGATTACAATAGCTAGACTTCTTTTACCATGTTTGGTCTTTCAACCAACGTTAGGCTGACATGCTGTACTAAAGTTCTATTCATTGGAGCTGTTCAATTCTGTTCAAATCCAAGTCATTTACTGTTTGTTCTCCATGCAGGGCCATGGGTAGTCTAGTCGTTTAAGGTGATGCAATTCACAGTGCAGAGTTGTGTCCCTTGATCATGTCAGGAATCTGTGATTTTTTTGTTTGATTCCTGGTTTGCCCCTATCTGTTTTTTCGGTTTGTCAGCACTATACCCCTGCTCATTGGTTTCAGCAGTTGTAAATGTCTGCTTTGCTCCCACATTAAACTGACATGCAGGATAGAACTAGAATACTGTGCAAAGTGGGGTTAAAGCCAACAAACCGCCCACTCCCTCTTCCCTCATCCGGAGATGTAACGGAAACACTATGAAACTAGTGTTATAACCCATCTCATGCAATCTCTCATTCACTTCACAATATCACTGACATTAATGCATCTACTGTGTATCATGTCATGGCCTTAACATTGTCATGGTGTTGTGATCCCCATTTACAATATCCTGTTGTTCTTATCATGGTCATATTCCTTGTACAATAACTCCTTACAACCTTCAATGTGGGACTGTGGGTTTCATCACAACATTATCAGTTGAGGGCCAAGGTGACTGTCTAGTGGCGGTGGGGTAGCCTAGTGGTTAAAGCGTTTGCTCAGCACGCCAAAGATCCAGATTCAATTCCCCACATGGTACTATGTGTGAAGCCCATTTCTGGTGTCCCCCGCCATGATATTGTTGGAATATTGCTAAATGTGGACTCGCTCGCTCACCTGCCTAACCACCATCCGCCATCTGCCTGCCCGCCATCCACCCAATATGTAAGCCCTGTATCACTCCAGGCTTTCCTCCCCCATGGAACTGCCATGCAACTGAAATACTTTCTGAAGTGGCATAAACCCATACTCACTTTACCATATTTTGTCTTCCAACAACCATTACACCTTGACTAGTCTGTCTCACAGTCCCCAAACCATATTATTTTCCCTACAGCCTAGCCCTCCATTGCAATGCTAAAGCCCTAAATGAAGCAAGTCTAGATTTCTCCAGGTTCAGAATCTCTGGAGCTCCTTTTCAGTTTATATGGGTATATTTGTTACAATCAGAATTATATGTATTGAGAGACTAAGTGCTAGTGCTAGTCTACACCTTGACTATCGCATCTCATTTTATCAGCTTCAAGGTGTTCAGAGTATTTTGCATACACCTAGTTTCTATTGATGAAAATGTCTCATTGCATAATGGGTATGTAGTTGCTGTGATGAAGTTACACTGTTGTGATGTTGCAATGATGTTGCTGTTGCAGTGCACTGCTGGAGCTACAAGGTGACAGCCGAGAGTGTGTGGAGGTGTTAGAGACAGCGTTGTCATGTTCTTACAAGGCAGAGGATCTGAAGACTCTCTGGATCAAGTATGTGTATCTCTTTTCCATAATATTGTTTGCCATTTCTAGGATTCATTTGAGAAATGCTGTAGCTTCTTTAGCTTAATCACATGCATATTTGCAGACAGTTTCGACACAAATAGCTTGAAAATTGGTGATGGGACCCTAACTTCAATCTCATTGATTATGTCTGTGTTATATTAATTAATTAGCATCCATATATATTTTGGCAATGTCTTCTGGATTAATGATATATTTAATACAGTTTGGGTACAAGAGGGCAAAAACATTGTAAAGTAAGCGTCATTCTTTAACAAGATTGTGCAAATTAAACAGTGTGTGTGACTTCCATAAGGGTTTGATCCAGGGCAAGCATGTGTGGTGGAGATGGCAGGTGCTTGTCATAGCCTCAGCTATTCAGGAGGCATGGCACTGTGTCCATACTTGCCTTTCTTCCACCTCCCACTCACTCCCTTGCTGTTGTCTCTACCTGTCGCCTTGTTACACCTGATCCTAAATATAACACTAGGTGTTAACCCTTTTACTGTCACGGTCTCTATAACTTGATCACACTTGTGGTGTAGTGGACACAGCATCTGCCTGGAGAGTAGAAAGTTGGTGGTTTGATCCTGGCTGTTTTACCAGAAGGTGTTAAAGATGGTACTTGTTGTTATCCTGGCTATTGTTTTGTAGGAAGGGAATAAAACAAGTAACTGTCGCCTCCAGGGTCAGTACTGTGATGCTGGTCCTGATGCTTGCCTCTGATGTTAGCCAAGTTCCAAAAAGTGACAATAGCCCTGAAATAACTTAATAGAATGGTACCAAGGAACCACTGCTCTTGCAGAGTTGCATTGACTTATAGATCAAGGTGATCTAATGGATGCTTATTGGTGTTAAGGTCATTGCTCTAAGGGAGATATTGCATAAACTCAGTCAGAGTCAGTCTGAGAACATGATGTTGGAAATATGTGTTTGACCAATATATGCACAAAGGGTAATACAAGTACTCTCTTTAAGACCCACATTACTGAGTGACAATTGGTGTTTCTTTAAGACCCACATTACTGAGTGACAATTGGTGTTTCTTTAAGACCCACATTACTGAGTGACAATTGGTGTTTCTTTAAGACCGACATTACTGAGTGACAATTGGTGTTTCTTTAAGACCCGACATTACTGAGTGACATTTGGTGTTTCTTCAAGACCGACATTACTGAGTGACAATTGGTGTTTCTTTAAGACCCACATTACTGAGTGACAATTGGTGTTTCTTTAAGACCCACATTACTGAGTGACATTTGGTGTTTCTTTAAGACCCACATTACTGAGTGACAATTGGTGTTTCTTTAAGACCGACATTACTGAGTGACAATTGGTGTTTCTTTAAGACCAACATCACTTAGTGACAATTTGGTGGTTCTTTAAGACCCACATTACTGAGTGACAACTGGTTTTTCCTGTAAGACCAACATCACTTTGTGACAATTGGTGTTTCTTTAAGACCCACATTACTGAGTGACAATTGGTGTTTCTTTAAGACCGACATTACTGAGTGACAATTGGTGTTTCTTTAAGACCGACATTACTGAGTGACAATTGGTGTTTCTTTAAGACCCACATTACTGAGTGACAATTGGTGTTTCTTTAAGACCGACATTACTGAGTGACAATTGGTGTTTCTTTAAGACCCACATTACTGAGTGACAATAGGTGTTTCTTTAAGACCCACATTACTGAGTGACAATTGGTGTTTCTTTAAGACCGACATCACTTAGTGACAATTGGTGTCTCTTTAAGACCCACATTACTGAGTGACTATTGGTGTTTCTTTAAGACCGACATCACTTAGTGACTATTGGTGTTTCTTTAAGACCGACATTACTGAGTGACAATTGGTGTTTCTTTAAGACCGACATTACTGAGTGACAATTGGTGTTTCTTTAAGACCGACATTACTGAGTGACAATTGGTGTTTCTTTAAGACCCACATTACTGAGTGACAATTGGTGTTTCTTTAAGACCCACATTACTGAGTGACATTTGGTGTTTCTTTAAGACCCACATTACTGAGTGACAATAGGTGTTTCTTTAAGACCCACATTACTGAGTGACAATTGGTGTTTCTTTAAGACCCACATCACTGAGTGACAATTGGTGTTTCTTTAAGACCCACATTACTGAGTGACAACTGGTGTTTCATTAAGACCCACATCACTTAGTGACAATTGGTGTTTCTTTAAGACCCACATTACTGAGTGACAATTGGTGTTTCTTTAAGACCGACATTACTGAGTGACAATTGGTGTTTCTTTAAGACCGACATTACTGAGTGACAATTGGTGTTTCTTTAAGACCCACATTACTGAGTGACAATTGGTGTTTCTTTAAGACCGACATTACTGAGTGACAATTGGTGTTTCTTTAAGACCCACATTACTGAGTGACAATAGGTGTTTCTTTAAGACCCACATTACTGAGTGACAACTGGTGTTTCTTTAAGACCAACATACTTAATGACAATTGGTGTCTCTTTAAGACCCACATTACTGAGTGACAACTGGTGTTTCTTTAAGACCCACATTACTGAGTGACAATTGGTGTTTCTTTAAGACCGACATTACTGAGTGACAATTGGTGTTTCTTTAAGACCAACATTACTGAGTGACAATTGGTGTTCTGTGCAATGTTCTTGTATCTCATCTGCATGCCTCTTGAATGTAACCCCAGGATTTTTTTATTTGTTTCCTTCATACCCATTTTATACTTTAAAAAGTTCCAAATGGAATTCACTTGTTGATCAGCACCTGTGATGTTGTAGACGTATGTACAGGTGTGCCAAGGGGGAAGGTAAACATCTCGGAACTCCATCTCTTGGTTTTCCCTCCCACACTAAGTTCACATGCTTAAGATACTGACAGCTCAAGAGGAATGACATACACATTTTTACCCCCAAATATTTAGCAGCAAATCAGTTTGTCTTTAAGAACTGCAGTGTCTTAGCTTTCAAGAAAATGACTATGTATTTTCACAGTTATTCATATGACGCAAGTTTCATTTATGAAAAAGGCCCTTTGACTTATGAGAAAAATAAACAGGATAAATTTATTCAAATCTGAACTCAATGGCTTCACAGATTTTTTGGGTACAATGTGTGAAGCCCATTTCTTGTGTCCCCGCCGTGATATTGCTGGAATATTGCAAAATGCGGTGTAAAACCATACTCACTCACTCACTCTCAGCTTTTTAATAGGCTTGGGATAAAGAGAGGACTGGTCATTCATTCTCTGTGATTTGTACCCACCCCAGAAAGGGTTAACCAAGATGCAGGCACACAATACCCCAGTCTTTATTTATGTAGAGCCTTTTGTCCTCATCCCGTCTAAATATGTCAATTAAAGCTAGTGCTGAGGGGTGTACACTTATTATACAAATAATGCCTCTATCCTCGCACCTTTAATTTAAGGTGAGGGATGATTCTCCCATGAGGAGCTGACAGTTGTACCCAGCTTTAGTGGTTCTTGATTCTAGTCAACTCTGAGGTGTGAGGCCAAGGAATAATAAAAACCTCTTGTAAATGAAACTTTAGATGGGAGGCGGATAAAAAACCCTGGTAAATAAACACTTGGATCAATTTAAGTAATCCCCAAATCTTATCTAGCGCAAACAGAAAAGGATTAGTGCAACAACGGAAGGACACCAAGAGAGGGTGGCAAGGAACGTGCAGGGAATTACAAGAGCATTGTCACCACTGAAGGCTTGGGTCTGTGTCTTACTGACAAGGTGCTTGTTGTGGGTTGTTCAGTTAGACATTGTGGGCTACCTCGAGGTCAAGCACCTCAAGACATGCACTGTAAACTGATATTGAATATTTTTACTGAAGAATGATGCAGTGTTGGGGGCAACAGGTTTATGAATGGACATTTTGTTGTGTTGCTGGTACTTAAGTAGTGTCTCTTGTCTAACCTTGAGAGATATTACAGTTAAACAATCACATACATTGCATACTTATCCTACTTTTCATTGATGCCAGGTTCTTCTCATTCCTTTGAGACTTGGGATTCATTAATATTCTAGGGTTTCATCACAGAAGTATTTCTGTTTTCTCACTGCGCTCACTAGCATGCACACATGCACACACGCACACACACATGCAGCATGCACACAAACACTCACACACACACACACACACACACACAACAAAAAAAAAAAAAAATGTACTATATGAACTAACAGAGAATGAGTCTGCTAGTAAAATTACTTGAGTGTTTGAATTGGTTTTGGTATAGTACAGAAACAGAGTGATGGAGGTGACACGTTTTCCACTGATAGATGACAAGAAAAAGAGTCTTAAGTTTACACTATTGTATCAAGGTCAATGTTACAATGCGGTGTTAACATACCTCTGAAAATAAGAAAAAGAAATCCAATTATGAACAAAATATAAGTTTTCCCTAATTTGTCTACCAAGAGCATTTAGTTTGGAATCCTAGATAAATCTCGAGGGTGACGTGGTCTTCAACATCCAATGACAGCAGCCTACCGTTACTTATGATAGATGTCAGGTGGTCATTTTAAGTGGCCCAAGATGATCTGAAGTCACAGGTCATTACTGTGACAAGATCAATTTAATGTGGAACATTTAAAAACTGCTGTGAAATGAACAACTCCCATATCTGGATGTTTAATGAAGGTCATTAACGTTACCTGGATTACATTTGATAAAGACCAAAGCAAGATTTGTGTTCTATGCCCTTAAGGTTTACTATGTTACCATTGGTTCTGACAAGAGTGTGTTAATGTGGGTTTAGTTACCTGGAATTCCATCAGCGGCAACTAGAGGGTGCTGCAAGCAATGATGTGCGCCTGCGTGAGGTGTTTGACTTGATGGTACGGAGTCTGTCAACTGTTCCCACCAAGTTCCCTGTCCCCTTCTCGGATGATGGCCACCTGGAGGGACTACCGCCATGTCAACAAGATGATCCACACATACCTCACCATGATGACCAGAGAGGAGAGACTGGTGGCACTGGAGAAGTTTGTTGAAATGATGCCATCAAATGTTGACCTCATCGTCAGGTGAGACTTGTAGCCATAAATCCTTGTCTCTGATTCATAAGTTGTAGAGAGATGTCTAATATCTATTTACATTTTCATTGCACAGTTGTGAAAAATACAGATCATTATTTTTGATATGAAAATGAATTTTTCAATACTGTATGTACATTCTTGCATGAGACCACCAGATGACACTCAAGTGTTCAGTTGAACTCTTGAGACCACCGCACCACATAACACTCAAAGTGTTCAGGGGAACTAGGTTCGCAATTGGCTGTGATGGATGACTGCATGGAAGACCATCTGTATTGTACTGTAGGAAATAAATGGATGTCTACATTGGTCTGCCCTCCTTCTTGCCTGCTACAAAGTGGTCATACCTTCATCAACAATTCATTGGTTGCTTTAACTGAAGGATCCCTGTCAGCCAGAATAGCTGCAATGCTGATGTGATGTGAAGTAGATGGCCTGATTGTCAGACAAAAACATATGAAAATACTTTATATTGTTGTTTACAGTATGTACAGGGATGATAATGTTCCACGGATTTGATCGAGCTGGGGTCATTCTTGTGAATCATGTAAATTTGAGGAGAAAGACCCCAGCTCATTTCACTCATACCCATTTTCATCCCAGTATATAACCAGGGCATTGTCTTCCAACACTATCTCCCACTGGGGTTTGCACCACAAAGCAATTGCAGCACTAAGGTGTTCCTAACTCCCATCCTGGTACATACCTAGACTTGTGACTGTCTAGCACTAGGGCCATTTGGTGGACCAGGGCCCATCTTGCCAGTGGAGTCCTGTGTCATGTATCGTACAATGTAACTGCCTCAGTATGACCATTGTCAAAATTTAACAGGTTTATATATGTATACACTATATGCATGTCTTATCACAGATGAATACTGAATTCAAAATGCAATATGAAAATGGATGTGACTATTATAAGTTAAACAATGAAAGTAGGCTGTGTCTGACTCATGACACATGACTTTAGTCAAACGAACCCTACTCTGTTAATAAACCCTTCCATATGAATTAACCCTTCCATTGCCTTACAACATGGAGAATGAATGGTCTCAAGACTGTAGGTGGGCTTGCTTGAGTGATACTTGATGTTTGTGAGATGTAATTGTAAGTTATAAATAGTGACTACACTAAACAGCAGAAGAGCATGGGTGATGGATGAACACAGTGTATACCCCTGTGGAGTACTGATGAAGAGTATGACTGAATGTTGTAGGAGTGTGGAGGAGGCAGTGTTGGGGAAGGAGTACCAGCGTGCCCGCAGTCTCTACAACACACTGCCATGGGAAGGAGTGGCCAATGTCCATCTGTGGAAGATGTGAGTTGCAGCAGGGACAACACTCTGTTGTCTTTCTTTCTAATATTTGGTAAACAGTCTGATGTGTCCTGTTAATATTACTGGTTCCCAGATTTATATACTGTAAGACCTTTCCTCAAAGATCCATACGATTTTTATATTCATGAGAATCCTATTTGTGACCTTGACCTTGATATTCTCTTTCTGAATTTTACAGATATTGTTAAACCTGTTTATTTGAATTTTAGTGATTTCAGTCCTGCTCTACGGCTTCCACAGAGCCAGACAGATGTAATGGTAGTGTATGATTGCCTGGATTTGGTCAATGTTTCCAGATTTCGTTGTCTACATTTTGACATATTCAAACAAAAGACTCCTAGTGATGTCCTTGATATTTCAAATGACTGATATTGCAACAAAATGACAGATCCACTCAGCTGTTGTCACAGTGATAGTGATCTGTATGCATGCAGGATCTGTGTCTGTGAATATTCAGTTTGTTTTGTACTGTTCCAGGGTACTTGGTCTGGCTCAAAGGCAGGGATCTGTGAAAGAGGTTAGCCTGACATTTCATGAACACTGTATAGTCTACAATGTTGATTTATATATGGAAGCAGATTATATTCTGATTTCAATTTTGTTGTCTTGTTAATAAAATTACAATTAAAAGTAGTAGTAGCATTATTGTAGTTGTGCAATTAGAAGTAATAGTCAAGTTAGAAGAAGTCAAGTGGACTTCTTTTTTAGGTACCTAGTGATGTAGCTTCAGGATTGCTAAAAATATACCTGTTTTCACACCAGCCCATCTTAGTCTGATGTCCCACCTGTGATGTTGTTGGTATGGTTAATTCTTCAGAAAATAACTTTGGGGGGTCATGCATGGTAGCTTTTGCATGGTGACCAGGTGAATTAATGGTCGTTGCACTCTGACTCAGTTCGATGCTACTGTCACTTGTTCGATCAACATACAAGGTAGTGCTTGCTTGAATATTAGTTCACTCTTTGTATGTGACTTCACAGATCTTTTGGGGATTTTTTGTCTGTATCCAGACTTGACATTTGTTTGGTTTCAGATGGAGAAGCTGTATGTGAAGGCGGTGCGAGCTCTGCCAATGGCAGTGACTATGTGGAAAGATGTAATGTATTCCCTACCACTACTTCTCTGTTATCGTCACTATATGGCTGAAATATTGCCGAGGTGTCGTTAAATTCTAACTCACTCACTTCTCTGTTCTTATGGATAGCTTGTCTTGTGTCATGTAATATGTCAAACTGTCGGTAAGTAAAAAAAACTCGTGAGGTTGAGTCAGTAAGTAATCCTTTTCCAGCCTCTATACAGAACATATTTGAAATGAAAAGAATCCGACAGTGTCAGTACAATTGCTTGCACAATTACATTTGAAAACAAGCTGCTATGTTTGATGTGAAAGTTGTTCCGTTAGACTTGAAGAAATTGTTTTTGGAAGGTAGTTAGTTGGCACCAATCAGATGCATTAAAAGTTGCATTTCTTATTAATTTTGCTCTAAAAAATACAAGCCTGAGAAAATTTTGACAGCTTGATGGAAATGCTCATTCTGTCAACCACTGGTTTACTTGACCTAGATTTGATCACAATGATGTCTGTGGAAGTTGCTGACGGTGTTGTAAAACAATAACTCACTGCAATACTAAAATACTTCCATGGAATGGTAAATACAAGGTATGGTGTTACAAGAGGAACAGGTCAGTTATGCTGTGTTACCTGAACTGTATTTTCTGATGATTCCTTAATGTTTCAGTTCCAGAAAATGTTATTCCTTTTTTCCCACAGTTCCTGCTGTTCGAGGTGACGGAAGGAAATCAGGCTACAGTTCAACAGATTCTAGGTCACTGCACCAGCATTGGACTGAACATTGCTGGATTTGTGGCAACGATATCACCATCCTAGTCAGGAGGCGGCCATGTTTGAACTACAGGATCTTTCACCCTTGAACTTGGATGTCAGTGTACTGACCTTGAGGCCAGTATCAAACAAGTTCGAACCCATAACACATGAGTTCTTCGTTTGTACTTCTCTCTTATGGAGACAGTATCGCAGTGAGTATTTTGAGGCCTTGACATGGGAGAAGTACTTAGTTAAAATATTTTTCATTATATATGTTATTGGTATTCATTGGTTCCATGAAACTGAAATGTTCCCCAAAATGAATAACAGTAAGTTTTACAATTGGTTTATGTTTGCAAGCTTGTTCTTCCATGGTCAAGGCTTGTGTGATTTGTTGGTGATGGTTTAGACCGTCCAGGGGATGCAGATGAATGAGGAGCAGCTCTTTCTCAACATGTCATACATACCAGCTTATAGAGATAGCATGACTGGCTAAATATTTCTTCATGTAGAAAGGCCACAACAAGTTGAGGTACGTCTGTGATGTGATTTGTAAAATGAGGATTTGGAAATTCATGTGTCTCCTGCCCTCAGTCGTACCAATACTGACTTTTGTTAAATTTCAGTGTGATGTTTCAATGACTCTTGTTGAGGACAAAAAATAACATACTGTCACAGGGTGAAGACAACATAATTTGAACGAAAGGTTGCCCTCAGTGAGATCTTCTCTGAAACAAGTTTTTTTTCCTTTCTTTTTAATGACAATGAATAAATTTTGGAATAATCGGTTCAAAGCCTCAGACTGCTGAAGTGCCGGGGGTATCTGACTAATGCTTTGGACCTCCTAGACTGGGGAAGATAATCTTCAGTTTCTTCTAGATCAGTTAATCTCTATATAGTAAGGCCTTCTTTACTAACTCGAGGTTAATGAGAAGATTTTGAGGAACATATATAATGAATTTGTTGTGGCCATGTACGGTCATTGTTTGTATTAAGGCGTTTCCATGAAATGGCTCGTTTGAGGACAGTGATCTAGTCCCATTCTTGTGATAGTGACAAATTGTTTTGCTACAGTTGGTATTTTGTGATCACATGAGAAAGTGTTGTTGCTGGAGATATAATTGATGTTTTATAATCTCTGTAAAATGTTCTGATATTTCTGTTGTCGTATTGTTTGTTCATGCATTAATAACCTCTGAAATTGAGCTTCAGTTAGAACAGGTCCTCACTAGTGATGACAATGGATCTAACAGATCTGAAAAACTTGAAATTGAATCAATATGAAAATCCTGTCTTCAAAGATTATGCAAAGGTGCTTTGAAAAATTGAGAAATCCAGAATTGTCAGATAAAAGTTGTGACAATATGCAACTTGTCAAGGAAACAAAAGATGAGGATGTTCCAATATGTCAGCTGAAAGTTTGGATTCCGTATCTGAACTTATGTTTAGTTAGTTCTGCAAGTGACAGTGTTGAAGACCAAGTGAAAGTGCTGCTCATTGATGATGACGGTTGCTGGTTCTACCAAAGATTCCTGCAACTGTTGCCAAACACCAAAGGTTCTGCCAAAACCTTAGGTTCCACTGGACCAGTCTCAAGTAGTTGTTTTGTGTTTTTGCACTAAGAACACAATGCCTTGTTTTTCTTGTGATAGTTTTGTGAAATTTGTTTTTGTAGCTGTAAGTTCATGTAAAAACTCCTTGCCATCCTTAAGAGAATTAAAATAAAACCATTCAAATTAGACTCAATTGATCGTGGTCATTTTGGAAAACTCATACGATTAATACAGCATGTATAAATTTGAATTCAGCATTTATATATTCAGAAACAACTTGTAGGTATTGTGTTCATAGTTGAGTTCTCACTGCTTTGAATTGCTTAAAGGTACATTCCCACATCAACTTGACATTCAAAATTGAAGTTAAAGGCTTTTAATATGTTAAAAGTCTAAAGGTGAAATGTTTATTAACAAATTCATGATCAGTGGAAAAATAAGGTAATTATATTTTCAAATATTTAAAGTTTCAAATTTAAAGAAAGTAACTGATGGAGTAAGTATTGTCAGTTTAAAACTTGTGGCTGCAGATTTTAAAGGTTGAAGTGAGTTTCATCTTGTGATGTGCCTTCAATGCATTGTTTTGTAAGTATGCTTACATGAATGAAATGTAAGCAGTGTCTGGCTCAATCCCTCCTCAACTAATAATACAAGCATGTAACTTGTTCATATAGGTGGTATCGATTTTAGTATTTATTACCATGTTTTTGGAAGTAGTAAATGAAATGTCACTTTCATGATTCGCTTTAACCACAGTTGTTTTTGAGAGGGATACATACATCTATATGATGAGTACAGTCAGAAAGAGAACATGTTAAAAATGAAATTACTTATTTCAATATTATGGAAATTGTAACAAATTTCCAAATGATAGTTTGTTGAGTGTTTTTTTTATGCTGAAATTTGAATGATTTGTAATGTGCACGTTATTGTTAATATTAATCCCAAGTTAAATATCTATTACCTACATATGACCTAGATGGTTGTGGCAATGGATTGAGCCATCACTGCACAGTTGGTCCTGTGTTTTGCACTAAATCACCCTTTCTATTAAGTAAAGTAGGTTATGCACCAATATTATCTTTACATCCAAATTTACATGGACCACCTATGTGTATCTTTATTCATCTTGTATTTGAATAAAAAATTAAAGTAAAAAGTGAATTTGTGCTCTTTGAGAGGTATGTTTTGATGGAGAATGTTTTCTTGTGTTCAAGATCTGAATGAGAGGGTCTTGAAAACTGTTTCTTGAGAGAGCAGCTAATGCTATCTGTAGATACTAGAGGCGGCATGATTGTTTCCTTGTGGGAACTGCTGGCATAGATTGTTGCTGATAGTATCAAAAACTTGTTGATCTGATGTATGGTCAGGATGCTGCTTGAATATCGCAGCTCCAGTGTAAACATGGTTCACTCACTTACATCCGACTCATTGTGAACATACATTTGACTGGTGTCTCCCTGAATCAAAGATCAAGTGATGTGAAACTGCTGGTGGTGCGAGTCATAGGTCTTTCTCGTTTCTGACCCACTAAGCACTAACACAATGGTAATGTCTATACTTTACCACAGGGATTCTTAAAACATGCCTTATCTGTGAAGGTCCAGGTTAGAATATTGATCTTCAGTAACCCTTGCTTGTCGTAAGAGGCAACTAACGGATCGGGTAGTCAGGCTTGCTGACTTGGTTGACACTTGTCATCGGTTCCCAATTACGCAGATCGATGCTCATACTGTTGATCACTGGATTGTCTGGTCCAGACTCAATTATTTACAGACCGCCGCCATATAGCTGGAATATTGCCAAGTGATGCGTAAAACTTAAGTCACTCACTCACTTAAAACATGCCTCCTCCCAAGGAAGAGCTATGATTCAGAACACTGGCTCAATGTAGTCAACCGATTCTTGGTGTTGACAGTGGCGATGCTGTATTGTTACAGAAGGGTGATCTCACTGGCTTCACTGTAGCATGGAAGTCTGAGCAGAATCGGTCGTTCTTCAAGTATGTAATCTATGCTTGTACCACGTGAATGTTTTCAGTAACGGACGTTTGGAACACTTATCTCCTGCAACCTGTTCATCAAAAACAGTCCAATGTCTAGGACCATGACTTCAGACTTTACGGTTATTTTTAAGTCCAACTGCCTTTAAAATATTCAACATGATAAACCCAACACACCTATATTCATCTAACAAATATATTTTCCTAAGAAAAGATATTGAATGAGAAAGGCTATTTGTTATTTAAATATATAGTAAGCGGTGCTTAACATTTTGCAAGGCGTACATATCAATGCTTAAGACATGTTCATGCAGTACAACTGAAAGGTATTTGTTGTTGAGTGGCCACGAGTCGCACGTTGTGGCCGGGTTTCATCGGTCTTCTGATAGACATTCATGAAAGCGATCTCTGCCCAAAAAGGGATAGGCACAAAGTCTACATCTTCAGTTTGCAGACAAAATATGGACTAAAAAGTTGGCTTCCTGATCCAGAGTCTTGGTGTGAAGCCTTTACTATCCCAAGAGTTCTTTACATTGCCTTGTGTTCGGACTCCCGATCTCGTGGGTTTGACGAATTTGATACTGTTTTCTTGTTATATTTTGATTGAGAAATGTGTATATGATAGTTAAAAAAACAAACACGTCTCGAGACGTCGGCGAAAACATGTTATGGAATTCGGGATTATATTATTTGGTTTACTTAATGATTGGGTTGAACTGAGATGATAATAGATCGGTGGAAGATAACTGAGAAAAGCAATTACAGAGTTAGACACGCGAGGACAGTTGCGTGTGGAGCGTGATGATTTATACCGCACTGCACTCATTAAACGATTTGAACAGTTATACATTATCCCGAGAAGATTGGAGGTCTTTAAATTCAAATACCATTGCATAGCTCCTCACGGACGGAACAACGCAATGTACAGGTTCAACGTTTTGTAGTCGTCTTAAATATGTTGTAGCAAGGGAGTGGGCCATCCTTGTAACTCCTCTTCTGGCTTCATGGGGTTGTTTTTGTTGTTTACGCCGCGTTCGGCAATATTCCAGCAATATGGCGACGGTTTGTAAATATTCGAGTCTGGACCAGACAATCCAGTGATCAACATAATGAGCATCTATGCAATTGGGATACGATGACGTGTCAGCCGGGTGAGCGAGCCTCACCATCCGGCAAGATTGGTTGCTGAAGATCAATTCATACCCGGATCTTCACTGGTATCATGGGATCGTAAACTGAGAAGAATATTGGCGCTTCTGTTGAGAATATCTTCATTCAGCGCCACTCTTGCTCGTTCGTATCCTCCAAAATTACGCCTAACTGGAACACTGTTCAAATCGGCGTAAAACCAAATTCGCCCACTCAGTACGTCGTGACGAACCATTAAATTACGGGATCGGGTGGTCAGGCTCGCTGGCTTGGTTGACACATGTCATCGGTTCCCAATTGCGCAGATCGATGCTCATGCTGTCTGGTCCAGACTCGATTATTTACAGACCGCCGCCATATAGCTGGACTATTGCTGAGTGCTGCGTAAAACTAAACTCAGTCAATCACTCACTCCTTTTAGATTAGGGGTAGCCTTGTGGTTAAAGCGTTCGCTCGTCACGCCGAAGATCTGGGTTCGATGGGTACAATGTGTGAGACCAATTTCTGGTGTACCCCGCCGTAACATTGCTGGAATATTGCTAAACGCTGCGTAAAACCTAAAACACTTGATTTATTTTACAATTCCTAACGCCGTCTTGTCTGTAATAATCTGAGGTGTCAATGACTACAAATTCATCAATGCTCCCAGAAAACCGTCACTCCAAGTTGCCCTTCTTGCAATACCTTACGCCCCAATAAATAAACCTTTTACTGTACAAGTTCAGGTCAACGTGTAGTTATAAGTACGATATGCAAAGAATGTCTTCAATTATACAACCAATTAACTCGTGAAGAATTCTCTCCGTTACACAAGTGTGTCCATTCTGGCACTTTGATGGATCATTGTGCGCTCTTCTTTGAGGGTATATTTTGATGGATCATTGTGCGCTCTTCTTTGAGGGTATATTTTGAAAGAAGCAACGGTATTGTCGGTTATTCTTAATTGTTTTCGGAAATAGTTCGACCAAAAACGAATCCGCTTTGTAATGAATTCTCCCCTGATGTCATTAATCAGCAACACACGCAAGCGCAACCAACCCATGGTGCCAGTTTAGCGTGCTCAGCGACATCATAGCGGCCAAATACGAAAGAAAGATCCGCCACCTCATTTACACCGTGAATATCAAGTAATTTATGCAGGTCATAATGGAACAAAACCATTAAGCAGCTTCTCGGATATCAAAGCATTAAAAACACTAACATAATCGCCATCAGTCTATTCTATACATTACACAATGTTTACAAAAACCGGTCAGAAACTATATCTCGGGACGAGCAGACAGGCCTTCAAGAACGTAACTAGTTCTGCTCTCTTATGAGGTTCTCATCAACCGTAATTTTACGTTGACTGCAATGATAAAATCACCAATATTCCCCTACCATCATCCGTGATTGCAATAGGAATGAACGTCATAAAGATTTTATCATGGCGCTTTTAACATGTAGGCTGCATATGTTCGTAATTTGATTATTAAGTGTAACTTGAGTGCTTATATATTGTGTTTCAGGAATAAGTCTCAGCGTTTTTTTAATTTATTCCGAACTGAATTAAATGAAAACATTAACAAGATGTGGGAGATGCACTTGACACCAGGTGCATGCTGGGAAATTATTGCAATGGTATTTCAACATCGAGAACCATAAAGTAGGCTACAATATTTGTGAGGAGCACTTGTTCAAAAAAAAAGTTACTAGCATGCTGTGTTTGTATCCAAGAACCAGCATCGTCTGTTACTCCATCCTTTGACAAAAACTAAATTGCAAGAGGCACGAAGTGAAAAAAACACTCCTTTCTGACATGAACTGGTTGTAAACAAAATAAACTTCCGACATTAATATTGCTCCTGCTTACACATGTAATAGCTTTTCACTCGTAACAAAGATGTAGCGGATAACGTATTGGTAAAAACATTTAAGTGTTAATGAAGCTCTGTGTTTGAATGAGTGTAGAATAACGTTATTTTAACTGTATTTCAGTTATTTCACGTCGTGTCAGTGAGTAGTCGGAGGACTTCCCGTATTGATGATTTCTATATATTATGCTTGGTAGGTTGGTTGGTTGGCTCTGTTGTTTAATGCCGCACTCAGCAATATTCCAGCTATATAGCGGCAGTCTGTAAATAATCGAGTCTGGACCACACAACCCAGTGATCAACAGCATGAGGATCGATCTACGCAATTGGGATACGATGACATGTGTTACGGGGAATTTCGACGACATGAGCAACTGGTCCACCTCGTCCTGAGCACAGACCCTTGTGTCGTTGCTCAAATATTTCCAGATCACGTAATATTTCGAATGTCAGAATAGTATATTTCTGACATTCGTAATATTAATTTGATTCGGAAATATTTAAATCAACAACGACACAAGGTAATGTGGTCCAGACTCGAATAATTACTGGAGTACTGTGGCTGAAATTTTGCGAACTGCGGAAAAAATAACATTCACCCTCTTCTCTCATTTAAGAGATCAAATTATTCTGCGATGAAGGCTTCGATACACTGGAGCTTTGTTTAAAGCCGTCTTCGCCTCTAAGATGCGCGAATGAGTGTGGAAGAGAGTTTATTCAAAACAACACCACAGTTTCGACTCTCCTGCTCGCAACGACGTCGACTTCACGTCTGGCTGACGCTGAGCACGCGAGGATCTGTACTCGCTTTTCTGTTTACGATAACGGTCAGACGTCGTATGGTAGCTGTTTATTCACTGTCGGCGACACATGAAGGTAACTTTCGACACATAGACTAACGCTTAGTCTCTGAATATATATTATTTTGATTGTAACAAATAAACCCATGTAACTTGAAAAGGAGCCCCAGGGAGACCAGAGATTCAAAACCTGAGGAAATCTAGACTTGCTTCATTTGGGGCTTTAGCAGTGCAGGGAGGGAAAATAATATGGTTCAGGGACTGAGAGAAAATAATATGGTTCAGGGACTGAGAGAAAATAATATGGTTCAGGGACTGAGAGGGACTGAGAGAAAATAATATTCGACTGAGAGAA